GTGATGGAGCTCATGTGTTTCAAAATGGAAGAGAGCCACCTCACCCACATAACTGTGTGAGTATGAAGCAAGCCTTTATTATGTCAACTCACTAAGCATTGGGATTTATTTGCTACTACTTATAGCCTCCAGGAGTCCTCATGGTGCAGTGCTTAACTGCCTGGCTGCCAACTAAAAGATCAGCAGTTCAAACCTACCGGCTGCTCTGCAGGAGAAAGATGAGACCATCTGCTTCTGTAAAGCCTCAGGAACCCTATGGGGCAGTTCTACCCCACCATACAGGCTTGCTCTAAATCAGAATTGACTGGATGGCAGTGAGTTTGGTTTTATTTATTTTTTTGGTTTGGACTCGTAGCCTATCCTAGTTGTGGAAGCATTGTTAATAACAAACTGACATCCCAATAAAATGAAAGCAAAATACCACCATGCTATTAGACACTCCTTGGAAGGAAGGTTGGGCAATCCTACTTTTGTAGTGATACTGCCTCGGAAACCCAAGGAGGGGTCGCTATGAGTCGGGGCCGACTTGACGGCACATAACAACAACAACATTAGACACGGGAATGCAATACGGCCATTCTCTTCACATTAAATGTCTGTGAATATAAAAAACAGGATTTACACCTTTCAGCATTTTGTCAGATAGAATAATTTACCTGTTGGCCCAGGGGGACCTCTTGGACCTTGGGTTCCAATGCCTGGGCTTCCTTTTTCTCCTTTGGTACCAGTTAGACCTGTTAAAAAAAGAAGAAGAAGAAGAAGAAGAAGAACTCCTTAAAATTGAATTTGGATAGTTCCACTTTTCTGAGTTTCCAAAAGCTCTCTTGTGAACATAATGAAGGTTCAGGGTTATGACTCCATGGGGTTTAGTTAAATTCTGGCAGGAGTGAAATGTGCACAGTCATATATCGAAGGCTGAGTCTGTGTCTGAATGTGTAGTATGTATTTGTTATCCTTCATCTTTGTCTTTTTTCCCTTTCTACTGAAGTGGCACAGCTTGCCAGACACTAGGGCATGGGCTGCGTCTTTGCATGCATCAGACCATTCAACGTATGCAGTTGGCACCCCACAAGTAACACAATAGAAATCACAAGTGACCACGTCGAACATTTTCCTTTTGGTTCACCCTGTAATATATCTGCAAAAGGCATAAATTCTAATTAGGCAACAAAGTTCTGAAGCGCGTGAGTTTCCATTAAAATCTTGGAAGCTTCAGGAAAGCCTGTGTTTCATTTGGCTGATTCAGCCTCATAAAAATCAAAACCTATTCATGTTTCTTTTCCATTGAGCAGACCTCTTATTCCAATTTACGGTGCTATTAACAAACTATACATTTTCATAGGCAAAAAAACAAGGGAACGTTTGCTTCTGACACTTCATCCCCCAAACAGGTCCTATGATAAGATCACTTGACAGGTGAGAGCACAAGACAGAGTCTCATCAGACTGGGACCTGAGTGGTCATGGCTCACATCACGGCAGGTCTCTGGTGTCTGTTTTTCATGTGCAACAATGCTTTGAAATTGCAGAATGCATCTTTGTTGAATTACAGCTACTGAGAAATTATGTATGATTGGCAAGGCCTGAAGGGAACAAAAATACATGAGAATAGGCAACTTGTTAGGAAGTAGGCATACAAGTAGGAGCCTTGGTGGTGCCTGCTAACCAGAAGGTCAGTGCTTCCAAGCCACCAGCTGCTCTGTAGAAGAAAGATGTGGCGTGGCGTCTGTTTCCATAAAGATTACAGCCTTGGAAACACTGTGGGGCAGTTCTACTCTGCTATGAGTTGGAACTAACTCAACGGCAATTAAAAAAAAAAAAAAAAAAAAAAAAACCCACTGCCATTGAGTCAATTTCAATTCATAGTCCAATAGAACAGAGTAGAACTGCCACATAGCATTTCCAATTGTTCTGGTTATCTAATGCCACTCTGACAGGAATATACCACAAATGGGATGGCCTAACAAACAGGAGTTTATTCTTACAGTTTGGAGGCTTTAAGTCTGAGTTAAAAATGCCAGGCTCTAGGGGCTGGGTGAAAGCCCCTCAACCTTGAGTTTAAGCTCTGCCTCCTGCTCCCGGCCCACAGGAGCTGGAGCTTTTCTTCACTCAGCTGCTGGCTGCTGAGGCTGACAAGCCCAAGGTTAACAAACAATAAGGCACAGTCCTGATATTACCAAACCACACAGCAGGCCATTAATTCAAATCTATTAAAAGTCCCAAGATGGGCAGAGCATGGTAGGCTGCTGAACAATGACACAGCTACATGCAGGGTTCAAGTGTTCCATAAGCTAGAGACCATTGCCAAAGCTGTTTCTTATACACGGGAAGCAGACCACATATGCAGAGTAGCTGCTCCAATAGATTCCACCATGGAGTTAATTACCAGTCTCACCACGGGGAATAACTGTATTAGCTGCCCAGCCAAGCTGACACACAAACTTAACTACCATAATTCCACCCCTTGTCAACTTGGCACCTGTACAGATATTCAATGGGTGGCATCTATACAGATTTCCTTCACCCGGTGGCTCCAGTCCCCTAGTTCAGGAGTGATGGCCTTACCCCCTTGGTGTGGTGGGCCCCATTCCGCTACCTCTTGGGCATGGCAGCCCTGCCCCCTCACTCTTGGGCAGCAGCTATGACTCCATCCCACCAGCTCACATGAATGAGGAGCCCCACACTCCAAAACCCAGTTGGTGAAGGTCTGGCTCTTTGAAACCTAGGGGGCTGTGGTGGTTCCACCCCCAGAGGCCATGGTCCTACCCTTAAGGCTGAGGCAGCTCTGCTTCCTGTTTCCTTAGTCTCTCCACTTCTACCGATTAATGACAAAGGCAACTGTGTTATACTGGGTTCTCTAGAGAAACAAAACCAGTAAAGCTTATATATATATATATAGAGAGAGAGAGAGAGAGAGAGAGAAATTTATCTTAGGAAAGTGGCTCATACACTTATAGAAGCTGGCAAGTCCAAAGTTCTTGCTTGGATCAAACGTCAAGCTGGAGCCTTTCCCCAACTCTTGCAGCTGCAGGGGCTGAGAAGCTCAAGGTTGGCAGGCAGTATACTGGGTGTTGACTCCAACGAATGACGAATCCAAGATCTTCAGGCCGAATGGTGGATTGTTCACTCACGGACAGTTGTAGGCAGCACAACAGAATCCCAATCCACAGAAGAATGTCTCTTTTCCCAGGATGTCCATAAATATACTGGAAGCAGACCACACCCCTAGGAAAACTCCCTTTCAATGGACTGGCTGCTCATCATGATTCATCTGATCCCATCGTGGTGATAACCACATCATAACTGCTGAAACCACACAGAATTGTGGTCCAGCCAACTTGACACACAGTTCCAACTATCATAGCAACCCACTCCACCAGAAATCTCCCTGCCCCAAAAGCACTCAGCTTTCTTGCGCCATGGGCCAGCCAACATGCTACTCCATTTCATGCTGGTCTCCTCTACCAATTAATGGTAGTGGGTTACACTTCTCCAGGAAGCCACCTGCACAATGGCACCCAGCTTTCTGCTCCGTGAGCTGGTAAGGCTGTCACTATCTCATGCAGGTCTCTTGGCTCTGCTGCTGCTGTCTCTCATGCTGCATACCAGAGTCTCTCTATTGGGGTCTTGGGTCAAGGACACACTTCACTCCTGTTTTCACACTTTAGGTATCTGTCAGAGTAGCACCCCACTCCTAGTATCAAATGTGTTAGGCTGGGTTTTTTAGAGAAGCAAAATCAGTAAGTTTATATATAGAGAAAGAAATTTATCTGAAGAAAATGGCTCACACACTTATAGAAGCTGGCAAGCCCCAAGTTCTTGGATCAGATGTCAAGCTGGAGGCTTTTCCTGACTCACACAGCTACAGGCACTGATGAGCTCAAAGTTGCCAGGCAGTATACCGGTTGACTCCAACAAATGATGAATCCAAGGTCTCCAGGCCCAATGGTGGCTTGTTCACTCACAGATAGTTGTAGGCAGCACAGCAGGATCCCGATCCACAGAAGAGTGTCTCTTTTCCCAGGATGTCCAATAGATTGGAAGGCAGGCCGCACCCCTAGGGAAACTCACTTTCAACGGATTGCCTGCTCAAAACATACACATCTGATCCCATCATGGGAATAACCCACATCTCAACTGTTTAAACCACACAGAATTGTGGTCCAGCCAAGTTGACACACAGCTCCAACTATCATACCAATGCTGTAAATCTGTCCAGAAGGAAACTGCCTCATCCTCCTCCTGCAGAGCAGTTGGTGGGTTTGAATCACCAACCTTTACACACACACACACACACACACACACGTGTGTGTGTGTGTGTATATAATTTAATTTTTATTAACAGTTAGGCTCAACAATCAGTTCTCAATATTCCAGAAAACTTGAAATAAATTCTTTAAAAAAAAAAAAAAAAAATTATTGTGATTTGGGAGAAAGTTTACAGAGCAAATTCACTTTCCATACAGAAGCCCACACACTTTGTCTCATGGCATTGACTGCAATTTCCCACAATGCAACAGCTCCCCTCACATTTCCCCCATAGAACCTCTTCCCTGTGTCCTTCCCTCCCATGCACTCCTGCTCCCTGAGCTGTCTCCCTGTGCAAACACAGCCCTTCTATTCTCCCATGATTGATCTCTCCAAGGACCTAATGTAAATGTTCAGCTCATATGCCTGTCTTTTGTTTAGCTGGACACCACAGGAGTGGGTTCAATTCCAGACCTGAAGGGGAACTAGGAGCCATATGAGTCACCAACCTTTTGGTTGCAGGCTAATTCTTTAACCACAGCACCACCAGAGCTCCTTTGATGGTAACAGGTTTGGTTAATTTTGGTTTAGTCATGCAAATGATTCAATTTTTTAATTACAAATTTTTTTTATATAGTAAAAGTAATACTTAGGCAGATTATAACATACGATAAGCAAGACTTCCAACACTCTAAAAGAATCACTTATAGCATCTTGTTGTTGTTGTTAGGTGCTGTCAAGTCAGCTCTGACTCACAGTGACCCTATGGACAACAGAATGAAACACTGCCCGGTCCCATGCCAGCCTCACAATCCTTGCTGTACCTGAGCTCTTTGTTGCAGCCACTGTGTCAGTCTGTCTTGTTGAGGGCCTTCCCCTTTTTCTCTGACCCTCCACTTAATAAAGCATAATATCCTTCTCCAAGGAATGGTCCCTCTGACAACGTGACCAAAGTAAGTGAAATGAAGCCTGGCCATTCTCACTTCCAAGGAACATTCTGGCTGCACTTCTTCAAATGAAAAAATGACAGATTTGTTCATTCTCTTGGCAGTTCATAGTACTTTTGGTATTCTTCGCCAACACCACAACTCAAAAGCATCCACTCTTCTTCGGTCTTCCTTGTTCATTGTCCAGCTCTCACATGCATATGAGGTGATTGAAAATAACATGGTTGGGTTAGGCGTACCTTAGTCTTCAAGGAGACATTTTTGCTCTTCATCACTTGAAAGAGGTCTTTTGCATCAGATTTTTGCAATGCAATACATTGTCTGATGTCTTGACTGCTGCTTCCATTGGTGTTGATTGTAGAACCAATTAACACAAAATCTTTGACAACTTCGATCTTTTATCCATTCATTGTGATGCTGCTTATTGGTTCAGTTGTGAGTATTTTCATTTTCTTTATGTTGAGTTGTAATCCATACTGCAGACTAAAGTCTTTAATCTTCATCAGTAAGTGCTTCAAGTCATCCTCACTTTCAGCAAGC